ACACACACACACACACACACACACACACACACACACACACACACACACACACAAAGAGAAGTGTTTGTGAAGTTGTGCAAACAAATATGTTCATTACTGCAAGACTGGGGACATACATAACAGTGAAATGCAGACCATAAATATCAATCATAGTCAGGTGAGGGAGGTGGACCGTGAAGGCCCGGCATCAATCACTGCAAAAGGTCCCAGATGGACTTCAACAGACTCCGATTGAATTTAGTACCCATATGGGTGGAACTAGAGCAACACAACGAGAAACACATAACAACCCCCCAAAACACACTGGAAACTTTCTTGACAAAAAGGGGAATTGAAGGGGAGGGAAGGGGAGAAGCAAGATACGTTACTCTGCTGCCTTCGCAGATTTTTCACAGATTTCTGGTGGATGACTTCCTATGTTACCTTCCTGAGCGATGGATCCGATATTCCCAAACTTTGGAGGTATTCCACTGTTGGCATGAGGTTATTTTCAACGCTAAGGCAAAGCAGTTGGGGTGCATTTTCTGCAACCTGAAGAATAGACACAGCCCAGAATTGTACAAAAGAAAAAGAAAAGCAAATCATTAACAGAGAAGCGCACAAACAAAAACAAAACAAGTGTTACGATCCTGGCCAATTTCGAAGTATACATTCATCAGAAAGTACAATGCCGTCCGATTGCAAAAAGAAATGAATGAACTTGAGAGGAGAGAGAGGGAAAGAAGAAGAAGATGATGTACACCAGCATAGGCCGATGACAAGGCTCTTCTTCTTCGCCAACCAATCTCCTCCTCCTTATCTCCTCCGCTCTTATTCAAACAAGAAATAACAATAATAATGTTGAATGGCTGAACCATAATCAATGTCCGAATCCCACTTCTACGGCAGGCACAACATGAGGTCCACCATAGCCATGGCCACCCTTCCTCTTCCTCTACATGCAGGCCGAGGCTATGGCGGAGCACTGAGGGCTCTACCCTCCTGTCCAAAGGACAACCCAAAGCAGCTATGTCGCTGCCTCCCTGTGCAAAGGGACAACGCAAAGCAGCTATGCCGCTGCTCACTAGGCCGCCATGCCTGTCTCTGCCCCGAGCTTCCTTGGTGCGGCGCTACCCCAACAGGGGCCTTCCAGATGCAGCGCCTAACAAGGTGATGAAGATGGTGCCCACCATAGCCAGGTGAGTACCTCGACACTCTCCTCCTTGGTCCCCTTCTCCCTCCTCCTCCTACCGGTAGAGCTCCACCATAGCCAAGGTGGAAGCTCCCGGCTTCTTCAACCAGCGCTCTTCCAACCGGCGCTCCAGCAGCGTGACGCCCACCTCGCACACTGAAGAATGAGGCCGAGCTCTTCCCTTGGCCTCTTGATATAGCGGCCTAATTGTCTGGGCGCTGACTTCCAGGCCGCTCGGCCTCCCAAGCAACCGGTACCTCCTCCCTTTCGGAGGGAAACATCATTGCAGACTCTGATATTGCCCGTACAGGCTCTAGACTCAGACTGGATGNCAACCGGTACCTCCTCCCTTTCGGAGGGAAACATCATTGCAGACTCTGATATTGCCCGTACAGGCTCTAGACTCAGACTGGATGGACTGGTACCGGCCTAGACCTAGCCTACCGCTACTGGCCCTCTAAAAATGCCAACTTTGTCTTCTTCTGCTTGTCCTCGAGTACCCAGCACATCTACTGCTACTGGGTGTGGTACCGGCCTACCTGCTACTTGAGTGTTTTTTTCGCTACTCCAAGGGCCGCAGGCCTCTGGCTCCACCACTTGAGTGTTTTCCCCTGCTGCAACCCTCAATGCCACGGCCACAGGTAAGTACCGGCCCTACGGGCCTGCCAAACAAGCAAGTACCCTTGCGGGTCACACACACACTCATGCCGACAAGCACTCAGACAGGCATGCAAGTCAACAGGCACACACACATAAAGACTTAGAAAACACAGCAGAATGCGGGAATCTCAGCAAGGCATCCATTCCATCGGCAGAACTTCAGAAATCAGCTGTGTTCTCAGTCTGTGTTATGGCGGGTCATTACACTACTCCCCCCTCAAGAGCGGGGTCCCTTCGAGCGAGTAACTCAATCAGAGTCCTTGCATAATGCATCATAAGCGTAAATAGCAAAGAGAAATAGGGTATGTTCTGTAGGAGTGAGGGTAGCAGTGAATTTAGGATGTTGTCCGGAGCTAATCAGTCGTTCATATGCATTGACGACTCGCGGGGCACTCTGCAGCAAATCTTTCTTAGCGATCCAGTAAAAGTCATTCAACGGGTGCTACAGAAAATGAACTTTATACTGTCTGTTTCTCCCCTTTCCACTGTGCACGACAATTCTATCAACCTCGTGACCGCCATTGATTGCGCGAGGGATCATTGATTCTCGATACGGAAAAGTTTCAGGTGGTTCACACGGAAACAACTTCGACGCGTGAAAGACTGGGTACGTGCGCAGATGAGTAGGCATGTCGATCGTGTAAGAAGGACCAAAGGAATCATCTCCTACTCGGTTCAGTACCTTCCACGGACCATAGTACTGAGGAAGAAGCTTTCGTGATACACCTTCTTCTTCAGAAAACTCAGACATCTTGACCCAGATATAACTTCCCACTGTGAAAGGGTCAGGCTGGCACTTTTTGTTTGCATGCTTAATCATGGCACTGCGTCGCCTTTCCATAGCTGTGACAACAACTTCGAGCAAACGGTCAAACTTAGCACTGTAGCCTGGCTGGCCAGGTGTTAGACCAGGTGGCTGGTCAAGAAACAAATAGGATAGGGGATTGCGAATTTGCCACCCGAGGTGCAACCGGTTAGGTGTTATCCCGGTGGAGGAGTGTATGGAGTTGTACAACCCCTGCACAATCGGCAATTCCTCATCCCAAGAGTTCTGATCAGGCACAATTAGAGCTCGGAGAAGTTGGATCACAGTCTGGTTGATCTCCTCGGCCAGTCCATTGGCTTTTGGATGTTGACCAGACTTCATCTTGAGTTTGATGTCATAGATCTGGGAGGTGAAGTCCTTCCAATCTGCACTTATGAACTTACTGTCCCGGTCACTCACAAGATTTTTCGAGGGCCCACACTGCAGAATGTACTTTTTGTGAAACTCTTTGATCACATGATCAGTTGGGGCGTGAGGTGGTAATGCAATCAAATTCAGAAATTTTGAAAAGCGGTCAACGATCACCATTACTTGTGAATATTCATTCCTACTCTTCTTTCCCATGTTCGTGAAGTCGATGGAAAGAGACTCACCCGGGCCATCGGGAATAGGAAGAGGATGTAGCAACCCATAGGGCCATAGGGCTTCTGCAGAGACAGTTTGATGCGTTGACAGACTTCACACTCAGCCACAAACTTCCGTGCCATTCCTTTCATCCCATGCCATACAAACTTTTGCAACAGACTTCCGTATGTCTTTTCAAAACCGAAGTGCCCACTCCGGCCATGAGCCAAGTCCAAGAAGTGGGTGAGGATAGGCTCATGGTTGGGTACACACAGTCCGTCGTACTTCCCGTTACGTCGGGAGAGCAAACCTTTGCACTCATGGAAATCAGGCTGACCGCTAGGGTCAGCTTGGATCTGCTCAAGGATGGGACTGAATTCCGGGTCCTTGGCAGTATGCTCAACTAGTTTCTCCTTCAAGTTCTTACCGAGATCATAGGAGCCCACAAGATAAGTCATGTACTCAGGGTGGCGAGACAAAGCATCCGCAACGCGATTGTAACAGCCTTTCTTGTGCCTAAATTCGAAATCATACACAACAATCTCATGCAGCCAACGGGTCAATGTAGTTGATGGATTATTCTGTGTCTGAATCCATTTCAAAGTCTCGTGGTCTGAGAACACTTTGAAATGGCGACCCAAGAGGTAGTGTTTCCAATGATCTAATGCCTCTCTCAAGGCATACAATTCTCACATGTAAGTGGAGGCAGCTACCTTGTGACTGGGCATGAGTTTGCTGTAAAATTCGAGCGCACGTAAGCCGTCGCCATCATATCGTTGCAGCACTGCACCAATCCCATACAAGCTTGCATCCGTAGTTACTACAAACGTAAGTTCGGGATCTGCAATGCGGAACACCGGATGACTCGCCAAAACCTCCTTCAATGCTTGAAAGGTTGTTGTGCATTCCCCATCGCATGTGTAGGACACATTCTTGTTGGTCAATCTGGACAGGGGTCGGGCAATGATAGAGAATCTGGGTACAAACTTACGGTAGTATGACGCAAGACCAAGAAAAGAACGCAGCTCACGGACATTTGTCGGTTGAGGCCATTCACGGATGACCTCAACTTTGGTTGCCTCGGGCTCTAGGCCTGCGGCAGACAACCAATGTCCAAGCTAGATGGCATTGTCCCTCCCAAACTCAGATTTCTCCAAGTTGAGATGGAGTTGCACATCCTTGAGGATCTGCAACACTTCCTCAAGGTGTCCCATGTGCTCCTCCATCGACTTGCTGAAGATTAGTATGTCACACAAATAAACAACAACAAATCGATTGATCTGATTGTCGAACACCTTATCCATGAGACTTTGAAAGGTGGTCGGTGCATTCGTGAGGGCGAAGGGCATGACGGTAAACTCGTACAGCCCATCGCGAGTTTTGAATGCAGTTTTATGCTGGTCTGCACGGTCGACTTCAATCTGGTGGTAGCCAGACTTGAGATCAATCTTGCTGAAGACCTTGCATTCACCTGCAGCATCAAGCAGATCATCAATACGCGGCGAAGGGTATGCATTCTTTCTTGTTATTCAATTCAGTCCGCGAATTCAGATTCGCTTGGCTTGATCCATCCCTTCCCAATCATGTCATCGATCTGTCTTCGCAACTCTTCCAATTCGCCTGAGCCCATTCGATAGACACAACCTTTTGGAGGAGTGCTACCTTCTATCAACTCGATCTTGTGTCGGACCAGATGCACGGGGACTCCATGCGGTTCGACCAAGACTTCAATCGGTTGAGAAGGTTGTGGAAAACTGATGGGACTTCCGGAGGTGGATCATCACTTTCAGGTGCAAGCATACCGGATTGCATAGGTGCCACCAAAACAACGGAATTTGAAGCAGAGTCGTTTGGACTAGAAGTAGACTTAGTAGAGGTAGAAGTATTTGCATTAGAAGTAGAAACGACATGCAGAGTAGAATCATTATGTACAACAAAAATAAAAGGAACATGAGCAGGCCTAACAAAGGCTATATACATTTGCTCATCAACTTTGCGCCTGCACCACTTTTTGTAGAATTGCATTGCATTGAGAAAAATTACTTGGGACTCGTGCGGCTCATCCAAGAGGACTGAACGCTCAATTCCCATGGCATCTTTGATCACGAATTGTGAGTCCTTCCACGTGGTTCTTTCACATTGGGCCTGCAACCAGCCCAAGCCAATAACCGCGTCGAAGGGGCACTGATCAAGGACATAGAAGTTCAATTCATGTGTGATTGTGCAGTCTGCGTCAAAGGTAGTACGCACACCTTTGACCGCATGCGTAGATGTGACAACCTCTTGGCTGCCCACTTGGGCTCGGCAAGG